AAAATAAATCTGTTCTTTTTTTCTTATAAAAGGTTAAATAAAACAAAAATATTGGTGTAATTTTTGACTGTAACTTTACAAACGGCAGCCCACACTCGTGGAAATGAATGAGCCGTTTATTTCCAAAATAAAAGCCCTGCTTCCTTTGTAAATAAAGTTAAAGAGAACTGTTTGGTTGGGGATGAAGTGAGTGGTTCCGCCTGGCTGTGGATGAGCTCCGGCTCCGACCAGCTGCCAGGATTGTCCCGGGTCAGTGGGCTCTGGAGTCACACAGATAATCAGCTTTATTAGCGCTGCTGCTAAAACCAATTTAAGAGCAGACTGAAGGGATCAGACGGACCAGCTGTCCACACCAGGACCTGGACCGGCTCCCTGGATCCACACTAAACACCAAAACAACAACAGCCAACTGCCGACCTGAGCAGGCTCACTAGCAGACGAGCACAGGGCTCGGTTCTGAATATTCTCCGGATCAGAACACCTGGGTCGAGCCAGAACATCCTCCTGAGATGTGGGTGGCCCGTCACTGGCCCGATGACCTCCCTGTTACAGAGCAGCAGAATCAGGCTAACTCCATCTTAGTCAGGGCGAGTGTGCCGCGTGCTTCAGGCGCCGCTCCGGCCTTACGTCACGTTTGTGTCTGGGCTGACGGCGCCGCGGAGGAGAGGCACGAGGAGGAGGAGCTAATCTGGTCCAGATTACAGTCCAGGTTTCATCCTCTCCAGAGTTCTGGGTCGGTTCTGCTCAGACGTTTCGAGTCAGGGCAAGTTGGAAGCAGGACGTGTCGGAGGGATTTGTTCTTCGGTCACAGAATTAGGATGAAGATGACTTCCTGTTTAGACTTTTGGTTTCTAAATTCTCCAACATCCTGTGTTAGGAACAGGTCAGGAGCACCAGAACCGGGCCACCCCTGTGGACCTGTTGCAGGCTTTAGATGAGGGAACATCTTTACATCATGTTACATGTTTTCTTGATTGTTTCCAGACATTTTCTGCCTCTTGAAACAAAAAGACCACAACATGTGAGCCAAGCACCGAGCTCCTGAACCAGTCCAGCTGTGTTACACTGGGTTCAGATCTACAACACTGAAACACACAACTCTCTGCATTATGCAAGAAAACCTCTGGTTGTCACAAAGAACACTCTGTCATTCAAAACTCTAAAGTTAAGTGTCCTTTATGCACACTGACCCAGCACATTCACTGTGTGTGATTTTACATTTGTGTCTAACTCTGAGAACATGAAGTGTTGTGTAAGAACCTGTGTCTAATCAATCCAGGAAAACTGTACGGAAGGTTGTGTGTTTTTATTTCAAATTATGCGTTTTTATTTAAGGTTGTGTGTTTTTTTTCTAAAGTTTGTGGTTTTATCTAAAGTTTGTGTGTTTTTATTTAATGTTGTGTGGTTTTATTTATAGATTATGTGATTATATTTAAGGTTTGTGTGGTTTTATCTATAGTTTGTGGTTTTATCTAACATTTGTGTGTTTTTATTTAATGTGTGGTTTTATCTATAGATTGTGTGATTATATCTAGTTTGTATGATTTTATTTAAAGTTGTGTGTTTTTCTATAGTTTGTGTGGTTTTATCTGTAGTTTGGGTGATTTTATTTAAAGTTGTGTGGTTTTATCTACAGTTTTTGTGGTTTTTTCTATAGTTTGTGTGGTTTTTTTCTATAGTTTGTGTGGTTTTAGCTACAGTTTGTGCGCTTTTTATTTAAGTTCTGTGTGTTTTTATTTAAGTTTTGTGTGGTTGTGTCTATAGTTTGTGTTTTTATTTAAGTTTTGTGTGGTTTTGTCTAAAGTTTGTGTGGTTTTGTCCAAAGTTTGTGTGGTTTTATCTGGGGTTTGTGTGTTTTTATTTAAATTTGTGTTTTTATCTGGGGTTTCGTGTGTTTTTATTTAAGTTTTGTGTGGTTTTGCCTATAGTTTGTGTGGTTTTATCTGGGGTTTCATGTGTTTTTATTTAAGTTTTGTGTGATTTTGTCTATAGTTTGTGTGGTTTTATCTGGGGTTTCATGTGTTTTTTATTTAAAGTAGTGTTTTTATCTGGGGGGTTTCATGTGTTTTTTGTTTAAAGTTGTGCAGTTATTTGTGTCCACTCATCATTGATGCAGCCTCTGTGCAGCAGGCCTCTCAGGCTGCAGGAACCTTTCTTGGGTTACCTCCATCTCCAAGCCTTTATAGAAGAACTTTTGTTCGGGACAACGTGGAGCTCTGGCAGCAGATCCCCTGAGAGACGCAGGGCTGCAGGGCATCTCCTGAACCATCTGAGTCTCTGCCTTTACACGCATGTTGTCCTGTGTTTACATGTGTTCATGTGTGCGCTCTTGTTCCTGAGCGTGTGTATAAACATGTGTTTATGTGTGCAGGAGGAGAACAGCGCGGCTGATCCGGTTTAATCTGCAGTTAAAGGCTGTTTAAACAACCTTCATAAATGTTTCACGGTGCGAGCCCGGCGCTGCTGAATGAAGGCTTTTTACTTCATGCACAAACAGGCCACGAGGGGCCTCAGGGGCCCCCTGACTCCTATTTAATGTGTGTAAGGAGGCGGCTATTAGCGCCCGCACAATGACACAATTCACTGCAGTGTGTCTGCCGTCCCGTTTGCTTTGTATCAGGCCCGGTTCTGCCCAGGACTATCTGATGGATCAGGGACTGATGAGTGCTGGACCGTAAATAAGGTGACTCCTCTGCTCCTCATTTACATCATCCATCAGAAGATCACAGGTATCTGCAGAACAGAGTGGGTAGAACCCTGCAGAACCTTATAGAACACTTCAGAACCCATCAGAACCCATCAGAAGATCACAGGTTATCTGCAGAACAGAGTAGGTGGAACCCTGCAGAACCTTATAGAACAATACAAAACACCACAGAACCATACAGAATTCCTCAGAACCCAACACAACCCCTCAGAACCCAACACAAACCCCCAGAACCCAACACAACCCCTCAAAACCCATCATAACCCCTTCTGAACCCAACATATCCCCTCAGAACCCAACACAACCCCTCAAAACCCATCATAACCCCTTCTGAACCCAACATATCCCCTCAGAACCCAACACAACCCCTCAAAACCCATCATAACTCCTTCTGAACCCAACATATCCCCTCAAAACCCAACACAACCCCCAGAACCCAACACAACCCCTCAGAACCCAACACAAACCCCCAGAACCCAACAC